TTGTTGTCGATCTGAGCAAAATATTGATTATTGATTTGCCTACTGAGGCACACAGTATTGAACAGTCAATTGTGGTGAGTGATGTTGAACTGCCTGTTGTATGTTGTGAGTGATTTTGAGGGCCTGTTGTGATGAGTGACACTGAATTGCCCCAATTGTGGCTCAGGAAAAAATGTACCTGCTGACTTGTCAAATAATCTCCTTAAATAATGTTCTGGCAAGTAATTTGTGTAATTGATTACAAACAAAAACAAGGGCTTGTTGACAGTATATAATGAGGAAATTAATTCCCTCTCATTATATTATTCAGCCTTGATAAAGCATATGGAGGCTTTCTGTCTGATTTGACCCTCATGCATGTAATTGTTTGGGAATGCCTGATCATTAAGATCACAACATTTGTTTTGAAGCTTGGCCTTTGAAATCTAAACCCAAAGCACTATATGTGTGTTCACAATGTTCTTGGGATAAGAATGAAAATCAAATAAAATATTTCAACTGAATTGTTAATTCAGGAAATGTTAATTAATTAACCATGGAGGTCAACCAGGTTATACTCAGGGCATATGGCTAGCATAAGCATTTAAATTCCAAGTGCATACGATGTTGACATTCCTTGTTTTCAGACATTCTTTGGGTCTTGTACTCCCTTTAACTGTTAAATATACTGTATGATATTGACATTTGCAAGAAAGATCTATTGTAGCAACAGTAACTATTAAATGTTTTGATGATCATGGATATGGTGTATTGAGAGTCCATATTATTAAATTAAAGTGATTTTACATATCTGTTTAACAATCGAGGCAGCAATTTCCTTGCGACAGTAATTCATAGTATAAATTAATAAATACTTCTATCGATCCATTCGTTTTGCACTGTTGCTTTGTATATTTAATAGATCTCCTTTGCAGTTCAACCAAGGTTCTCAGAGCTAATTTGAAGACAATTTCAAATTTATTCAATATTTTTGGAAGAACTTTAACAGATTTTTTCATTTTAAAATAGATTTTTGTTCTTTATTTGTCGATTTCGGTGTTTATGCAATATTGATGAATATATTGTAGCTAAAGCGATCTGCGATCGCACCCCCCTGTATAGTATTTGCTCCGATATATCACGTGACAAAATAATCCACAATTTGTGGATTATTTCACCAGCCTTTACCAGGGCCTTTGCTGCCCTTCGCCTCCTTCTCAAAAAGGCCCTGGGGACGAGGTTGATAAGTTGTTACATATAAGACTTGCTCAACCACGGTTGACCGCGGCTCAACACAGTCCCAATATGCAGTGCCACTGAGCTAAATGTATTCAAATATAACTCAGTGTAAAGGCAGTATACCTCAGTCAGTTCACTCATCGTGTTTAATGCATTTTTAATTATCTGGACTACATACAAAGACGTACAGGTGTTGATAAATACAGTTGTGAACTAGGTGCCCCTCAACCCTTTCAACTCTTTCATGGAGCACTTGAGGATGCGCACCTGAGAATTTTTGGGCAGTTTTGCGCACCCGCACTTCAGGTGCGGCCTGATTGCGCACCCAAGACCTTGTTGGAAACTGCCCTACTCTGCAGTCTGGTCAACATGGACATCAGATTGCCAAGGGGGGACAGGATTAAAAAATTGTGTTTGTGGTAATCTTCAACACATATGACAAAACATAAGATTCTTAAAGTTTTTGCTTCCTTGTAAATTTGCTAAAATCTGCTGGCTGCAATTCACAAAATATTGTTTTTTCTAAATGCTATATTTATAGACATGACAGATGATCAACCTAGACAAACTATGCATTATATAATTCTTAACAAATGATCTATCAGTTTTCCCCAGTTTGCAAATTATAATATAAACCAACTGCAATTGAATACAGTATTGTTATAAGTTATCAATATGGTTGATATTTTGTCTCTCTCCTGAAAACGAAACACATTTTAAACCAGGGTCTCACCGGTGACCCACACAACTACACGTTGTCACATTATATGCCACGTGTGGTTGGTACAAAATGCATTTATTTACCTTCATTTTCTCTCCAATTTGTTTGCTACATAAATTCTTTAATTTGTTCCAGTTATCTGCTTGAAAACGAGCTGTAAGGTGGATAGAAGTATTAAAACTTTAACAGTCATTTTCATCGAAAACATAAGTATAGACACTCACATTTTCTCCATTCACTGTCTGCACTGATAACTTTGTCGACCATCGAAGCATCTTTATATCGCTTGCCCTGATTTTCTCGCATTTTGGCAGGATTTCCACCACGGTCTTCGCGAAATAAGTCTAAATCAAGAACCATTCTTGCAGGAGAAGTAAAGATACGACGAGATTTCAATCCAAATGTTGTACTTTTTGAATAGAACTGATGCAATAGGGCAAACAATGCTCGCATTCCAGACAGAGAAAGTACGGGAAAGTGACACCTCACTCGAGCACCATACGGGATTTGTACGACAAAATTCCGGGGATTAATCTCGTACAGTTTACCCAAAGGACACTATCACCACAGAATAGGAAGTTATACCAGAAGCGTAACTCGAGCAAATATTTGTCCGCGTTTTTACAAGCGATTCGTCATCAATCACGCCATCCTGGCTAGTACAACCGGCACTTTGTACCTACCAAATCCTGATAAAAACTTCCGGCTGTACTAGCCAGGATGGCGTGGCCTGACGTGAGCGAGTTAAAATTTTCGTGGACGTCAAACAATAAGGGAAACGACTAGAGTTACGCTTCTGGTATAACTTCCTATTCTGTGCTGTCACTGACATGTTTTATCTACGATAATGAGTACGATTAAGATGCAAACGACGGTATTTGATAGGATAATAAAAATAAATGTCCATTGAATGACATAGTTTATTTAAGTATTCCTTCTGGTTCTAAATTGTGAATTCCTTTGCTTGCTTTTTCTGCTTGTTACTTGCGGCCTTACTGTGTTTTCCTACTTTTGACCATACTGCTTTAAGATTTCATTTTTCTTGTTACTTTAATCGCTAAGTAAGTTACTGTATTATAGGTACTTTGCCTTAGTTCCGAGTAAATTTTTCTGATACCGTAATAACAGGTCCGCGGAAACGGGGCTGCATGCACTTAGGAGTTTAGGGCAGACCCTCCCACCTTTTTAATGAATATGAATAGTGTCCCTTCCCTTGATACAGGGCCTTTTTAATTTTTAACATACAAGCTGGGGGGGGGGCAAATGCCCCCCCCCAGTCCCCCTTGTGCCCCCCACGAAATCACATTTTGCCCC